ATATTCACTTTTTCTACAATGCCAGGTTTTCTGAAAAAATATTGAAAAAGTTTTGTTATCGACAGATGATTAGTGATTCGATCAATTGTTTTTATGAATTGGTTTTAGTCGAAACAAAAGATAAAACGAGAAACAGCAAATTCGACAACAGAATCAAATTTTTTGCAAAATATGAAAATTCAAATGAATTTGGAAATTGTTCTTGAAAGTTTTGTCGTTTTGCCTGTGCAATAAATGTTTTCAGTTTCGATAATAACGAATGTACGATAGCCGATTAAATGCAAATGTCACCTATTAAACAACCTAAAGGCAATTTTTTATCAGAATTCAAAGCAAAAACTTTATTTCTCTTTCAGTTCTCTTTCATTTTGCAAACAAATCGAGAAAATGACATCGTGCCACCCCATGGATCCCAGTAGCCATGCTCATAACAATTTGGGTCATTCATCATCTGAGAAACGTTAATTCGATCTTTTTCATTAGTTTTCTATTCTAATTCTAATCTAATTTCTATCAGAAGTATTTACAAGTCTCATCTTATCAGTCCAAATTTTATCTTATCTCTCAAGACTTATCCTATCACTCAAAGTCTCCCTTACTCCATAAGTCTCACTTACTCCATAAACATCAGCACAAAAGGTTTGAGTTTCGTCAAAGTCGAAAGTTGATCCATCACTCCACGTCCACGTCTTATTTCGACCAACTGCCACACATGTCAATCCGATCATTGCTTGATTTGCATGACAATCGGTAGTGTTTGAATTAGTAGCGATGTTACCTAAACAAATTTGTTTAATGAAAAACCAAAAAGCTTGGTGATCATCCTGAAGATTTCTAGTTCTGGTTCTAGTATGACCAAGTAAGACATGCGCGCGATAAACTACAAAAATGACAAACACTACAAACGCTTCTAACTTGCTTCAAATCTGCTGGATTGATATAATCTATAGCTTAAAAAATAGAGGATCTCCAGGGCTTTCGAATAGACTAAAGCACAGGCAAAATAGGAATTCTAAAGAAAGTTATAGTGGTTTGTAGCCTGACTCAATCGCTTCGACTACGCTCGAGTCAGGACTACAAATCACTGTAACTTTCTTTAGCATTTATATTTGCCTGTGCTTCAGCTCATTCAATAGCTCTTGAGATTCTCTATTTTTTAAGCTACAGGTCATATCAATCCGGCAGATTTAAAGCAAGTTAGAAGCGTTTGTAGTTTACGTTTGTAGCTTGTAGTGCCCATGTCTAGACCAAATCACTGATTCGACCAATACTCAAAAAACTAACGTTGCACAAAATCGAACTCAAACTGAGAGTGAATCGACACGAGATGAGATCCCATTTGTTGGCAAAATTCCTCACCATCTTTATAATAATAAGTAACATTGGTCGAGTTTGCACTCTAAGAGAGAAATGTTTGGGCAACATAAAATAAACAAACTCCAGCAAAGTAATAACAGTTGTGTTTGTATATAATCCAACCGTTTGGACAACCTGAATGTTATGAAAGTTGATTTGCTTTACCTATTTGACTCCTTTACTCACCAGATGATGGTGGAGTGACGGTGGGTGGAGTAATAGTGGATGGAGTTGTGCGAGTGGTGATTACACGAATCGTTGTGGTTTGAGTTGGTGTCTGATCGGGAATCGAGCAAATGAAGGAGTGACTTGATGCACAATCAACGGATGTCCATTGGTAATCCTTTGCACTGATCACCGCACAACTCATGTTGGATAAAGGATGACCTGGAAAACTTAGAACTAACAAGATTCAGTGGTAAATAGTATCTTGTCTTGTATTATACTAACGCTACTTAGAAATATTCTTCAAATTCCGACCACTTTTCCAATTCTGATAGATCAACGGACTTCCATCACCATAAACCCAGTTTCCATTTTGTTGTTGAACTCCAATGTAAGAATGGCTATTGTTGCCAATTACTGAAATTGAGTTAGTTGATTTTGATAGCTAAAAATTTACCTTGTCCAGCTTGCGTTCCAGTGACCACATTTTCAAAAATATCCTGGATTTGAATAAGTCGGCCATTTACTTGTGTGCAAAGAAGTTGAGCGCCAGAATATGTTGTTTCTAATGATAATAAGATGGTAAATGTGTCTCAGTATTGACAATGAGTATTGACCGTTGTGTCAATATTGCAAAGTTTGAAACGAACTTGCATCCACCGCATCGATACATTCATTCCTGTCTCCATAATGAATAGTTCCTTGTGGACATTGAGCGCCAAAAGTTAGAGTAACCAAACATAGCAAACAACAAACAATTGAAATTTTCATTAGCATATATATTTTTGAAAGCTTTGATAGAAAAATTCTCCTTCGAAAGCTCAGTACACATTGATTTCTTGAGCATCGGTGACGCGAAATTCTCAAGATAAGAGACTAAACAATAAACAAAATAGATAGCACTACTTCCACAAAATACAAAAGGTACAGTCTGAAGAAATAAATGACAAATTCACCAACAATTGGCTCTAAATAGAAAATGTCGATTATTCATTTTTCTGCCTTTTTAAGAAAAGTCCTTTTCCAAGGAAAGTCGAGTGAAAAAAACTCGTTTTTCGTAAAATTCGATAAAAAGCTCTACAAAAAAATCGGCTGAACAGATTATCCTGAAAATTTGGCCATATACCTAACTTTTCGGGCTCTATCTTTTATCTATTGACAGCAACCTAGGTTTCTGTGGAACAAAGCGCCTAAATTGCGTCTTCAGGTTGTCGCCTTTTTTGATTTCGATTCATTTGATCATTTCATCAAAAATCATTTGAGCCAGACACAAAAACTGTATAGTCTAGTGAAACAAAGCTTGAAAACAGAAGAGTTCCTTTAATAACGGGTCAACGAGTTACAAAGTGTCAGTTACAAAAATGAAAATAAAAATAAAATGCCTTAAAAGCTTCGTTTTTGAAGTTTAAAGATTAGATTTGACAATAGATTATATATCTTATTGATAATGTTACAAAACTTGATTAATTTTCATGCTTATCTATTCTTCTCCTTTTCTTGCCAGTGTTCTTGATCAATATTCGAGCTTGCCCTTCCAAGGACGTTTCTTGTGTTTTTACAAGTTCAAAGAAACAAATACCTGTAAGTACCTATTTACAGTTTATTCAGTTACTGCGTGACGTTTAATAGAAAAATCTTTCTCTGATGGTTCCACTCGAGTTTTGGCCTTGAGATTGAAACACTAGAATCAATCACGGTTTTTTCTTTGTTTTGAGCAATTAGGAAATACACAAAAGTTATAAAAAATTGGGAACAAGAAAGAGATTGACCGAACTCATCGAAAAAATGCGCCAAATTCTTTTTGTTTTCTTAGCATTTGTGCTGCTTTCTGTGATTGCTGAGAAAGTTTTGTTCAAGTAGATGGAAGTTTGCATCAGGCTTGCTGTAAAGGAATTTGAAACAGAATGGAAATAGAGGCTATGAAGAATTTTAGTGACTTCGACTACGATCAACGCGTTCGTCGTGGCTTCGACTCTGATCAAAGAGTTCGCCGTGATTTCGACTACGATCAACGTGTTCATCGTGACGATCCCCGTGAGAAGAGGAAGATCAGTTGACCAGCTTATTATCTAAGCAAACTTTGACTTAACTTAGTGAGTATAACTTTTTCATAACAAATCGGGGATTTATTTGACTACTGATGAACACAACTGAATACAGTTTTCTTGTGAAAGCCTGCTATATCAGATTTTTACATATACATATGAATGTATATGAATTGAGAAAGCTTCAGTGAAAATGAGAGATGTGTGAAGCTGTTAATACGAAACCAATTGTTAAAACGTTAAATCTTAAACTTTGAAGAGTTGCTCTGTAAGTTCTATAGATTCAACTATTACTAAGATGCGGTTTTTCTTTGATCTTTGATTTTTTTAGAGAAAGATATGGATCCCGAGATGATTGTATCAGTAAAAGTCAGTGTCGTCGATGGTTTCAGCGTTTTCGAGACGGCAATGAAAGCCTCTAGAACTGGACGCCGTCTAGAAATCTTAAATGGCGATTTGCTCTATACTATTGAAATATCTAAAAAGCTCAATGCTAAAACCTAGACCAACAGTCTATACGGACCTTTACTCAAAAAAACTAGTGAGAGTTAACAAAGCTTTAATGAAGTTGGGGATCAAACCGTCAAGAGTCCGATTTCTGGACGATGACGCTAAACCCCACTCATAAAAAAAAATGGGGAGCTAGGTTGGAGACTTTTGCTTCACGCACCTTACTCCCCTGACCTTGCATCGTCAGATTATTTTTTATTTCGGACGTTGAAACACTTACATAGCTTTACAAATTACGCAGATTTTAGAACAAAACACTGGCTTTCAAGTACTCTAGAATCAAAAATGGCAAATAAAGCAAAGTTGACTGATTATCAAGCTGACAGCAAATATAAACTACTCTGTAGTAAAACGGGATAATATCTTTTTCTGCTTTGTTATTGTTTTTTGTAGAGTTTTTCACTGATTGATTCTTGACCTTGACCATTCTGAACGCGCCTTTTTCAAGCACAATGTGTTTTGAGGGTTCGAAAAGGGAAAACAAAAAACAAACGAAACAAATCCCGTTTTCAAAGAAAACCATTGCTATAGATGAAACAAGAGTTTGGCCAGCAGAACGGGCAAATTGTGCATAAACTTTTTGTACGAATTTTCCAAATTGACTTGTTATTGTAATGAAAAAAGACGTTGAAACCCAAAGTTTTCGATCAACAAATTTTTACAATTTTTGGAAAAAATGATGTGCAATTTGTCTTTTTCATTTTCCGATTTTTTTTGAAGCGATGACTAGGTGATATTGGTCAGAATTTTTTGATCCAATGGTTCCACCGAAAGATTTCTGCCTCAAGGATAACAACAACACTGAAGGTTTTTCAAAACCAAACAAGGTTTTTCAATGTTTTGACCAACTTTTTAGGGGAATCCGCCAAAGCTATAAAAGCTCGGGGAATCAGGTTCTGACAAACGAAGATTTGCTGATCCAAAATGCGTTCGATTTTCTTTCTTTTCCTAGCATTTGCGCTGATTTGTGTGATTGTGGCGTAAGTTTTATTAGAGAAAAATATGTTGAGTAATCTTTGTGGAAGTGTTAGAATGGGAGAATATAGTGGAATAAATGCAATTACCAGCATTCCAATTATAGAGACGACAAGGCGCAAGGAGACCAACGCGTACGCCGTGACGACGATAGGGAGAAGAGGTTAGTGTTTATCATGCAAGCAGACCTATTGAGCAATCCGGTTCAATATTGTACCTAAGATTCAAGATAGCAGTGTTACCATCCCTAGCATTCCAATTTTAGAAGCATGCCTAAGGATCCCCAAAAAGATCAACGTGAACGCCGTGACGACGAAAAGGAGAAGAGGTTAGTTGTGAATCATCAACAAATCTTAGACTTTGAGAACGATTTATCCGTAAGTTTGTGTAAGTGACAAGTGCAATAAAACTATTCGTAATACATTGATGTCAAGGTGACAATTCCCTTTAGAGATGATGACAATTCTCAAGGGGATGAACGCGTACGCCTCGATGATCCTCCTAATGAGAAGAGGTTGGCTGAGAATGATGGATGAATTGTTTTTCTTAAATCTTACTGATAGATTTTGACAATAGAAATTGTACTTCAACGTATGTGAGTCTCAATTTGCAGAGATGCTGATACTGATGCTGAACGTATGTGGTCGCGGTCCTCTCTCTCGTAAAGCAAGGTTCGTGAAAACAGTAACTAGCCAAAATAAAGTTGTTTAGCGATCATTTTTAAAGTTTTTTTATTCTCAAACTCTTTTAGAGATGGCGATAACGATTGAGAAGGGCACACTCTGCACATACAAAAAAAACTGGCTTGGTCTTGGCTAATTTTCGGTTCAACTCAAATAAATTTGCATTCCAATTCTTTTACATAAAACAAAACAAGGGGTTCGCGATTCCCGCGAAAAGAGGTTAAGATCAGTTGATCAACTTATTACTCTGATAAAATCTGACTCTAAATCTGCAGTTTGTTAAGCAAGTCATGCAAAATCAGCGCATTGTCTAGGCAAACTTTGAATTAACTCAGTGAGTATAACTTTTTCATAACGGATCGAGGATTTATTTATCTACATGGGCACAATTGAAAACAGTTTTCTTGTGAAGGCTTGCTATATCAGATTTTTACTGTATGTGAATTGAGAAAGCTTCAGTGAGAATGAGAGATGTATGAAGCTGCTTACAAATTTCTCTCTTTCAGAGACGACGATGCCACTGTGTTAAACGCTCACCGCGTTCGTCAAGACGCCTCTCGTGAGAAGAGGTTAGTTGTTAATAAGAAAATAATTATTAAAGCGTTAAATCGTGAACTTTGAAGAGTTGCTCTACAATTTCTATAGAGTCAACTATCAGTTCAACTATCAGTAAGATGGGTTTTTTCTTTAATGTTTTAATTTTTTAGAGGACAATATGGATACCGTGTTCGCCGTGGAAAAGATTTCTTTTAAAACCAATCCCTTTCATTTCTCAACCTTGCTTTATTCAGTGCCATTTTTACTAATTTCCGAACAAATTTACAATTTGAATGTCTATTAATAAAGATTTAAGTTTACAACTTCAGAACACACTCGCTGAATTGGATGAATAACATTGGTATTAATTGAATCAACATATTGTTAGTAGTTAGTTATTGTACCACGGTGTAAAGAAAATAGTGCGGGCTTCGAATTTTGCCAAGTGTTTGCTTACGTAATGTTTTGTACAAAAATAAACTACACACTCACTAGATTTATAATCATTTTCCTTTTCACTTCGCTAGTGGTTTTTACTGCAAAAATTGATGACAACAAGCTCGTGCCTCGAGCTGCCATGATCTACGATTTCAAATAAGGAAAAACCCCTGCTGAATCTCACCGTTTATTTCTCGAAGCTTTTGGAGATGATTGTATCAGTGAAAGTCAGTGTCGTCAATGGTTTCAGCCGCTTGAGCCTCGATAGTATTGCGTGTTACTAAAGTATATCTGGTAGGTGGTGAACTGAAGAGTGTGACTTTCAAGTAAAAGGGATTGCTTCTAAAGCTGACGCAGAGTTGTAATAGTAGACGCCATTGTTGTTGTATCGATTGTAAGGTGAGGCGAAGTAGGCCCCGTTTCGGTAATACGCTTGTTTCGCTCGGATTGGTCTGGAGTTGGTGTGAGCTTCAGGATGATAATAAGTTGAATTGTTACTTGTATTCAAAATTATGGTTCAAAATCCATTATTCAGAAAGCACTCACTTCTCGTCATCAAAGAACTCGTTCTGAGCGGAGACCATTGAAGCGGCGATCAACACGAGAAGCCAAAAAATTTCCATTTAGATGCTTAATTTCTCTGCTTGACTGATTTCTTTTTATATGAGTTCATTGGGCACAAAAATTTCAAGCTTTTCCAGATGTTTACTCTGATTTGTTCACTAGAATGATGCCGATATCCGATGCCCAAAACACTGTATTCTTTCAAAATCTTGTTTGTTCAAGTTCCTTATCGGAATTACTCTCAAGTTCTTGGATTAAGCGGTTTGCAATGCGGCATTTGTTTTTTTTTGGGCAGAGCTCATCATTCATTTGAGCTAGACACAAAAACTAGATAGTTTAGTGAAACATAGCTTGAAAACAGGAGAGTTTATTTAATAACGAGTCAACGAGTTAAAAAGTATCCGTTACAAAGATGAAAATAAAAATAAAATGCCTTGAAAGCTTTGTTTTTGAAGTTTAAAGAGTAGACTTGGCAATAGATTATATATCTTATTACTAATGTTACAAAACTTGATTAATTTTCATGCTTATCTATTCTTCTCCTTTTATCTCCTTGATCAATATTCGAGCTTGCCTTTTCAAAGAAGTTTCTTGTGCTTTGGCGAGTTCAAAGAAACAAATACCTATTTACAGTTTCTTCAGTTACTGCATGACTTTTAAGTGAAAAATTTCGTTCCGATCGTTCCACTCTGACTAAAAGTCATTGAGCCTTGAGATTGCAACACTGGAACCAATCACGGTTTTTTTTCTTTGTTCCGAGCGAATTTGGATATACATAAAAGGTTAGACAAGAAAAAAGAAAGAGATTGACCGAACTCATCGAAAAAATGCGTCAAATTCTTTTTTTTTCTTAGCATTCGTTCTGCTTTCTGGGTTTGATGAGTGAGTTTTCGTGAAAGTTTTGTTCAAGTAGATGGAACTTTGCATTAGGCTTACCGTAAAAGAATTTAAAACAGAATGAAAATATAGGCAATGAATAATTTTAGTGACTTCGACTACGTTCAAAGTGTTCGCGATTCCCGCGAGAAGAGGTTACGTTTTTTTCAACAATTTTTGCTTGCTATTTTTTTGCAAAGTTGTCATTTATTTCCTGCCTGACCTTGATCATTTTTCAAGGACGCGATCAATGTGTTTTGAGAATTCAAAAGAGAAAACAAAGCTTCATCAAACAAATCCACTTTGCAAAGAAATCCTGTGCTAAAGATAAAATAGTGTTTGGCCAACAGAATAGACAAAATGTAGATCAACAAAAAATACGAATTTTCCAAATTGGCCTGTCAATTGAAACCCAACGTTTTCGATCAACAAACCTTAGCACTTTTTGGAGAAAAATGATGTGCAATCGGGTTTTTCCATTTTCCGACTTTTTTTGAAGCGATGACTACGTGTTTTTGGCCAGAATTTTTTGATCTAATGGTTGCAACCAAGGATTTCTGCCATGAGGATAACAACAACACTGGAGCGAAACAAGATTTTCAATGTTTTGACCAACTTTTTAGGGGAATCCGCCAAAGCTATAAAAGCTCGGGGAATCAGATTCTGACAAATGAAGATTTGCTGATCCAAAATGCGTTCGATTTTCTTTCTTTTCCTAGCATTTGCGCTGATTTGTGTGATTGTGGCGTAAGTTTTATTAGAGAAAAATATGTTGAGTAATCTTTGTGAAAGTGTTAGAATGGGAGAATATAATGGAATAAATGCAATTACCAGCATTCCAATTATAGAGACGACAAGGCGCAAGGAGACCAACGCGTACGCCGTGACGACGATAGGGAGAAGAGGTTAGTGCTTATCATGCAAGCAGATCTATGAAACAATCCGGTTCAATATTGTACCTAAGATTCGAGATAGCAGTGTTACCATTCCCAGCATTCCAATTCTAGAAGCATGCCTAAGGATCCCCAAGGAGATCAACGTGGACTCCGTGAGAGAGAGAAAAGGTTCGTTGTAGATAAGAAAACAGTTGTTAAAGCGTTAAATTGTAAACTTTAAAGAGTTGCTCTGCAAGCTCTATAGATTCTACTATCAGTTCAACTATCAGTAAGATGCGGCTTTTCTTTAATGCTTGAATTTTTTAGAGAAGGATATGGATACCGTGTCATCCGAGATGATCCCCGCGAGAAGAGGTTAAGACCAGTTAATCCACTTATTATTCTGATAAAATCTGACTCTAAATCTGCAGTTTGTTAAGGAAGTCATGCAAAATCAGCGCATTGTCTAGGCAAACTTTGAATTAACTCAGTGAGTGAAACTTTTTCATAACGGATCGAGGATTTATTTGTCTACATGAGCACAATTGAAAACAGTTTTCTTATGAAAGCTTGCTATATCAGATTTTTACTGTATGTGAATTGCGAAAGCTTCAGTGGAAATGAGAGATGTGTGAAGCTGCTTACAAATTTCTCTCTTTCAGAGATGACGATGCCACTGTGTTAAACGCTCACCGCGTTCGTGATGGCGCCTCTCGTGACAAGAGGTTAGTTGTTAGTAAGAAAACAGTTGTTAAAACGTTAAATCGTAAACTTTGAAGAGTTGCTCTACAAGTTCTATAGATTCAACTATCAGTTCAACTATCAGTAAGATGGGTTTTTTCTTTAATGTTTTAATTTTTTAGAGAAGGATATGGATACAATGTCCGCCGTTAAAAAGATTTCTTAAAACCAATCCCTTTCATTTTTCAACCTTGCTTTATTCAGTGCCATGCTTGTCAATTTCTGAACAAATTAAGAATTTGAATGTCCATTAATAAAGATTTAAGTTTACAACTTTAAAACACACTCGCTGAATTGGATGAATAACATTGATACAGTCATGGACAAATATAATGAAAAGATTACGGTAGCTTTCCAAACTACTCACTCGCCTTTTTGCTTCACAATGACTAGCCACTAATAATAAGTTGATTCCACTAATACAGTCATGGATAAAAATCTTTTAACGTTGGTTTTTAGAAGTTTGTTCTTTGTATATCTTGGTCCAAATTCGACCAATTTGCAAACGGTTAAAAGATTTAAAGAGCTTATTATCTCTAATTTTAACATTACAAAAAGATGGATTTAACAATTTATCAGGTGTCATGAACTCTTTAATAAAAAAAATTGAGCCAAAAATTGATGGACAAAAGTCTTTTAACATGTGAGAAAAACATTATGAAATCAATAATTAGTAGTTCCTCCGCGAGCCGCAATTACTGCTTGAATTTTCCTTGACATGCTGTCAACTAGATCACGTAGAATTTGGGGTCCAATAGTTGTCCAGACTCGACGGATGAAGTACCAAAGGTCCACTTTTGATCCGAATAGTTTCCCCTTCAATTTCGATTTCACAAACGCCCATAAGTTCTCGATCACATTCAAATCAGGACTATAGGGAGGAGCAGACACAAGTTGAACACGGTTTGCTTTGAACCATCCTGGCACCAGAGCCGTTCCTCCTTTGGCGAGTCGAACACGGCGTCCCATCAGCAGCTGTGACTTGTGGCACGGGGCATTGTCCTGGTACAACAATCAACCTTGGCCCATATTTGCGGTCGAAAACGGTAGAAGCTCATTCTCCAGAATCGTCTTGTAGCGTTGAGCATTCAACGTTAAGTTTAGAAGGACGAGTGGACCCAGTGAATTTCTGGACATTGCTCCTAGAAATCAGAAAATCAGTAGGCACAAAATACAAAGTTTCTTACCCCATAGCATGATCGATCCGCCACCAAATTTAACTGTAGGACGCAAGTATTTAATGTTATAACGTTGTCCGACTGGTCTCCGTATCAAATGACTGCCATCAGGGGCGAAAAGATTGACTTTCGATTCGTGGGTGAACACAACATTGACCCAATCGTGCAACGTCCAACTTTGATACTTCTTAGCAAACTCGAGACGAAGCTTCCGGTGCTTAGCTACCATCAGAGGTTTCTTGGTGGCTCTTCTAGTCATCAATCCACCGTGAATCAGGCGTCTACTCATCGTTTTTCGAGAAATTTCTTTGTTAAATTGTTGCTTCACCATAGCCACGCCATCAGAGGCATTTAGATTTGGGTTCTTCTTGTGGGCCAGAACAAGCGCATTGTCTTCTCGTAAAGTTGTAACTGGTGGACGTCCACTTTTTGATGCACGATGAACGTTTCCCGCGAGTTTGGCCCTGGAGACAACAAGCGATACAGTTGTTTCGGTACAGCGGAAGAGCTCAGCGACGGCTTTTCTAGATATTCCATTTTTTCGAGCTTCGACGATTTTCTCCTGGCCCGAAGTGGATAAGTAGGCGCCGGGCATCTAAAAAATCGGAGTTAGCAACCAGAAATCGGCAACTATTCGGATCAAAAGTGGAGCTTTGGTACTTCATCCGTCAAGTCTGGACCACTATTGGACCCCAAATTCTACGTGATCTGGTTGACAGCATGTCAAGGAGAATTCAAGCAGTAATTGCGGTTCGCGGTGGACCTACTAAGTATTGATTTCATAATGTTTTTCTCACATGTTAAAAGACTTTTGTCCATCAATTTTTGTTTTAAAAAAGGTCATGACGCCTTGTTACCGTGTTCATGAAAAATTGTTAAATGCATCTTTTTGTAATGTTAAAATTAGAGATAATAAGCTCTTTAAATCTTTTAACCGTTTGCAAATTGATCGGATTTGGACCAAGATATACAAAGGACAAACTTCTAAAAACCAACGTTAAAAGACTTTTATCCATGACTGTATTAGTGGAATCAACTTATTATTAGTGGCTAGTCATTGTGAAGCAAAAAGGCGAGTGAGTAGTTTGGAAAGCTACCGTAATCTTTTCATTATATTTGTCCGATCTATGTACTTTTGATTACATTCAACTTATAGCTTGATCCATCATCAGATTGGATCAAAATATATTAGATAGGACAAAATCCGGAGAAAGCATTACGATAACTTTACAAATTATGCAGCTTTTAGAAAAAAACATTGCTTTCAAGTAATCTAGAATCGAAAAAGGCAAATAAAGCAAAGTTGACTGATTATCAAGCTGACAGAAAATATAAACTACTCTGTAGTAAAACGGGATAATATCTTTTTCTGCTTTGTTTTTGTTTTTGCAGAGTTTCTCACTGATTTTTTTTCGACCTTGACCATTTTGAACGCGCCTTTTTCAAGGACAATGTGTTTTGAGGATTCGAAAAGGGAAAACAAAGCTTCATCAACGAAACAAATCCCGTTTTCAAAGAAATCCATTGCTATAGATGAAATAAGAGTTTGGCCAACAGAACGGGCAAATTGTGCATAAACTTTTTGTACGAGTTTCCCAAATTGACTTGTTATTGTAATGAAAAAAGACATTGAAACCTGAAGTTTTCGATCAACAAATTTTCACAATTTTTAGAAAAAATGATGTGCAATTTGTCTTTTTCATTTTCCGATTTTTTTGAAGCGATCACTAAGTGTTATTGGTCAGAATTTTTTGATCCAATGGTTCCACCGAAAGATTTCTGCCTTAAGGATCACAACAACACTGGAACCAAACAAGGTTTTTCAATGTTTTGACCAACATTTTAGGGGAATCTGTGGAGCTATAAAAGCTCGATGAATCAGATTCTGACCAACGAAGATTCACTGATCCAAAATGCGTTCAATTTTCTTTATTTTCCTAGCATTTGCGCTGATTTGTGTGATTGTGGCGTAAGTTTTATTAGAGAGAAATATGTAAAGTAATCTTTGTGTAAGTGTTAGAATGGGAGAATATAGTGGAATAAATGCAATTTCCAGCATTCCAATTATAGAGACGACAAGGCGCAAGGAGACCAACGTGTACGCCGTGACGACGATAGGGAGAAGAGGTTAGTGTTTATCATGCAAGCAGATCTAAGAAGCTTTCTTTTGCTCAGAATAGCTTTTCAAATTACTATTAGTGATGTAAGTGTTTGAATTAATAAGAGCAAACCGTGATTGATTGTAAATTGTAAAGATCCGGATCGTTAACATTTCTATTTAGAGATGATTCCCATAATGGAGACGACCGCGTACGCCGTGACGACGACAGGGAGAAGAGGTTAGAAACAGTTTAGTTAATTCCACCTGGAGTAAGGGTGATGAAGTGCGTTGTGGTGTAAGGGTTAGCAGATTTGTCCGGTAGGCGAAAGGTTGCGAGTTCTAGTCCCGGTCCCGTACAACATTTTGATCTGCCCTAGTTCCAACTATTTTCTTCGATCCCTATTGGCCAGTTTTCTCCTATCATTTTAACACATTCACGACCAGGCGGTATTTCACACAAAAGCCCGTGGGACCAAAAAATATTTGAGTTGACAACAAGCGACTATTTGTATCGTTATTATTCGTAAGTCGTTAGTCGTAAATGATGCAAAAATCATGTGCATCTTTAAGCTTTGAGAAAAGTTCCTCGCTTGTGTGCTATAAGTAAAAATTATTAAGTACAATAAAACGATTTGCGATACTTTGCATTCAAGATGAATGTTGTAAACAATTTCCATTTCAGAGATGGCGATGCTGAAAAAGGTCAACCCGCTCGCCGTGACTTAAAGAGAATAGATAGGTTTGTTGTAAAAGCATAGATGACTGAAATCTTCAATATTTATTGTTTAGAGATGCCAAGGATCCAAGCAGCCGCGCTCGTCGTCTCGATTTGTTACGTCACCAGAGGTTGGAGACAATCTATTTCTTCTCAAAGCTTTGTTTGCAGACTTGTTCTTCCTACTTCTAGTCGCATAAGCGTTTATTATAATAGTAGTATCAAAAAAATTAAAAAATGTGTTTTGACAATCCGAAAAGGGAAAAAAAAGCTTGATCAACGAAATAAATCCCGTTTTCAAAGAAATCCATTGCTAGAGATGAAATAAGAGTTTGGTCAACAGAACGGGCAAATTGTGCATAAACTTTTTGTACGAATTTCCCAAATTGACTTGTTATTGTAATGAAAAAAGACATTGAAATCCGAAGTTTTCGACCAACAAATTTTCACAATTTTTGGAAAAAATGGTAAAATTTGTCTTTTTCATTTTCCGATTTTTTTGAAGCGATCACTAAGTGTTATTGGTCAGAATTTTTTGATCCAATGGTTCCACCGAAAGATTTCTGCCTTAAGGATAACAACAACACTGGAACCAAGCAAGGTTTTTCGGTGTTTTTACCAACTTTTTGGGGGAATCCGCCGATAAAAGCTCGATGAATCAGATTTTGCCAAACGAAGATTCACTGATCCAAAATGCGTTCAATTTTCCTTTTTTTCCTAGCATTTGCGCTGATTTCTGTGATTGTGGCGTAATTTTTATTAGAAAGCAATATGTAAAGTAATCTTTATGTAAGTGTTAGAATGGGAGAATATATTAGAATAAACGCCATTACCAACATTCCAATTATAGAAGCGACGACGAGGCGCAACAGGACCATCAAGAGGAAAAGAGGTTAGAAACAGTTTTCCCCGATCAGCATTGGCCAGTTACTTTGATGATGATGATGAAGTTCTTTAGATGGATAGAAGTCAAATAAATTACGAGAATTCTAATTTTAGAGATGGCAATGACCAAGGAGCTCAACGTGAACGCCGTGACGACAAGGAGGCCGGAGCTCAACGTGAACGCCGTGACGGCGATGAGCATCTAGCTCAACGTGAACGCCGTGACGACAAGGAGGCCGGAGCTCAACGTGAACGCCGTGACGGTGATGAGCTTGTAGCTCAACGTGAACGCCGTGACGACAAGGAGGCAGGAGCTCAACGTGAACGCCGTGACGGCGATGAGCATCTAGCTCAACGTGAACGTCGTGACGGCGATGAGCATGTAGCTCCACGTGAACGCCGTGACGGCGATGAGCATGTAGCTCAACGTGAACGCCGTGACGACAAGGAGGCCGGAGCTCAACGTGAACGCCGTGACGACAAGGAGGCAGGAGCTCAACGTGAACGCCGTGACGGCGATGAGCATGTAGCTCAACGTGAACGCCGTGACGACAAGGAGGCAGGAGCTCAACGTGAACGCCGTGACGACAAGGAGGCCGGAGCTCAACGTGAACGCCGTGACGGCGATGAGCATGTAGCTCAACGTGAACGCCGTGACGACAAGGAGGCCGGAGCTCAACGTGAACGCCGTGACGACAAGGAGGCAGGAGCTCAACGTGAACGCCGTGACGGCGATGAGCATGTAGCTCCACGTGAACGCCGTGACGACAAGGAGGCCGGAGCTCAACGTGAACGCCGTGACGGCGATGAGCATCTAGCTCAACGTGAACGCCGTGACGACAAGGAGGCCGGAGCTCAACGTGAACGCCGTGACGGCGAGGAGCAGCTAGCTCAACGTGAACGCCGTGACGACAAGGAGGCAGGAGCTCAACGTGAACGCCGTGACGGCGATGAGCATGTAGCTCAACGTGGACGCCGTGACGACAAGGAGGCAGGAGCTCAACGTGAACGCCGTGACGACAAGGAGGCAGGAGCTCAACGTGAACGCCGTGACGACAAGGAGGCAGGAGCTCAACGTGAACGCCGTGACGGCGATGAGCATCTAGCTCAACGTGAACGCCGTGACGACAAGGAGACCGGAGCTCAACGTGAACGCCGTGACGGCGAGGAGGCATCTAGCTCAACGTGAACGCCGTGACGGCAATGAGGCATGTAGCTCAACGTGAACGCCGTGACGACAAGGAGGCAGGAGCTCAACGTGAACGCCGTGACGACAAGGAGGCAGGAGCTCAACGTGAACGCCGTGACGGCGATGAGCATGTAGCTCAACGTGAACGCCGTGACGACAAGGAGGCAGGAGCTCAACGTGAACGCCGTGACGACAAGGAGGCAGGAGCTCAACGTGAACGCCGTGACGACAAGGAGGCAGGAGCTCAACGTGAACGCCGTGACGGCGATGAGCATGTAGCTCCACGTGAACGCCGTGACGACAAGGAGGCCGGAGCTCAACGTGAACGCCGTGACGGCGATGAGCATCTAGCTCAACGTGAACGCCGTGACGACAAGGAGATCGGAGCTCAACGTGGACGCCGTGACGGTGATGAGCATCTAGCTCAACGTGAACGCCGTGACGACAAGGAGGCCGGAGCTCAACGTGAACGCCGTGACGGCGATGAGCATGTAGCTCAACGTGAACGCCGTGACGACAAGGAGGCAGGAGCTCAACGTGAACGCCGTGACGACAAGGAGGCAGGAGCTCAACGTGAACGCCGTGACGACAAGGAGGCAGGAGCTCAACGTGAACGCCGTGACGGCGATGAGGCAGGGAGCTCAACGTGAACGCCGTGACGACAAGGAGGCCGGAGCTCAACGTGAACGCCGTGACGGCGAGGAGGCCGGAGCTCAACGTGAACGCCGTGACGACAAGGAGGCCGGAGCTCAACGTGAACGCCGTGACGACAAGGAGGCAGGAGCTCAACGTGAACGCCGTGACGACAAGGAGGCCGGAGCTCAACGTGAACGCCGTGACGGCAATGAGCAGGTAGCTCCACGTGAACGCCGTGACGACAAGGAGGCAGGAGCTCAACGTGAACGCCGTGACGGCGATGAGCATCTAGCTCAACGTGAACGCCGTGACGGCGATGAGCATGTAGCTCCACGTGAACGCCGTGACGACAAGGAGGCCGGAGCTCAACGTGAACGCCGTGACGGCGATGAGCATCTAGCTCAACGTGAACGCCGTGACGACAAGGAGGCCGGAGCTCAACGTGAACGCCGTGACGACAAGGAGGCAGGAGCTCAACGTGAACGCCGTGACGACAAGGAGGCCGGAGCTCAACGTGAACGCCGTGACGGCGATGAGCATGTAGCTCAACGTGAACGCCGTGACGACAAGGAGGCCGGAGCTCAACGTGAACGCCGTGACGGCGATGAGCATGTAGCTCAACGTGAACGCCGTGACGGCGATGAGCCTGTAGCTCAACGTGAACGCCGTGACGACAAGGAGGCAGGAGCTCAACGTGAACGCCGTGACGGCGATGAGCATGTAGCTCAACGGGAACGCTCAACGTAAGAATTGTTTTTAATAGTAGTATCAAAAAAATGTCAAAAAAAAAATGTAATGAGAAGGGGTTGGCTGAGAATGATGGAAGAATTGTTTTTCTTAAATCTTACTGATCGATTTTGACAATAGAAATTGTATTTCAACGTATGTGAGTCTCAATTTGCAGAGATGCTGATACGGATGCTGAACGTGTTCGTCGCGCTCTTCGTCGTAAAGCAAGGTTCGTGAAAACAGTAACTAGCGAAAATAAAGTTGTTTAGCGATCATTTGTAAAGCGTTTTTATTTTCGAACTCTTTTAGAGATGACGATAGCGATGATTAAGAAGGGCACACTCTGCACATACAAAAAACTTTTGGCCGATTTTCGGTTCAATTCAAATAAATTTGCATTCCAATTCTTTTACATAAAACAAATTCAATATATATTACATTTTTCTCAAATTTCAAATTAACTACGTGTTGTTGGCCGGAATTTTTTGATCTAATGGCTCCACCCAAGGATTTCTGCCTTGAGGATAACAACAACACTGGAACCATACAAGGTTTTTGGTGTTTTGAACAACTTTGGGGAATGCTATATAAGTTTGATAAATAAAATTATAATAAACGAAGATTCACTGATTCAAAATACGTTCAATCTTACTTCTTTTCCTAGCATTCGCGCTGATTTCGGTGATTGTGGCGTAAGTTTTTGCTAACGATCAATCAAACAAAGAATAAACTTTCTCTTGGTATTAGGTAGATTATTCAAAATCTTCACTTCACTCTTCACTTGCAGAAATTTCTCCGCATTTTTAGAGGAAATTCCAAAAAAAGAGCCCGACTCACATCCGCGCGAAATGTATCGAAAAATGCGTTCCCTGTTAAAAATAACTGCCATTTGCGTTTTCTAGACCAAAAAAATGCGCTGATTTCAAAAATAATAGCTTCATAAAAATCCGTCTTGTGGTTTTGTCTAAAAATGAGGAGCTTTTTGGGGAGTTGCGACTCCCCAAAAAGCACCTGTTTTATGGCATTTCCGGCAAGCCGACCTTTCTATTAGATTATCCCATAGAAACCCAGAGATTTTGGTTTTGATCAGTACTCGCTCACAACACAACGTTTTGTATTAATCTTTTTTCTTTTTCATGCTAAAACTTTCTGCTTTCTTGCACCAATATTCATTTTTGAGGAATTGACACGAGAAGAGAGTTGCAGTCGATCGAATGAAGCCAACTCGAGAAGAAATCCACGACCGGCTGCCCTTACGATTTGGACCGAAAGATCCTGCCAGCTCTGGTTTGCCCGATTCCGAGAAGGTATTGAATCTCTTGAAGGCGAATCACATGGACATCGCTCCGCAGCCATCGATAATAATGAATTGGAACAACTTATTGAAGCCGATCCAATGCAAACAACACGAAACAACATCTCTAAGGTTGCTTACATCTCAAGAAGGTTGACCAAATTTTAAACCAACGGCTTTAAATCCCTCGACTGTCAATTTTCTCCGTGACAACGCGCCCGCTCGCACAGCAAAAGCTGCTTATATGGAGTTAGAAGAAGTAAAATGGAAGGTCTTACCGCATGCGCTATATAGTCCAGACTTATCACCATCTGATTTTCACCTCTTCAGATCGATGCAACGTTCCCTTGCGAATTGCCAGTTTAAGAATACGCGAGAAGTCGAAATTTGGCTGACCAACTACTTTCAAGCACAGAATCAAGAGTTCTTCGATAAGGAGATCCGCAAGCTAAAGCAACGTTGGAGGGATGTTATAGATAACGATGGTGCTTATTGTTTCGAATAAATTGTTACCTAAAGGAATTTTGATTGAATTTAATGTTTGCAAAAAAAAAAAATTTCTTTTGCACCAACCTAGTAACTATTAACATTAAACAACCATCATTAAAATCGAAAAAATCCAGGGAAGAGGTCTAAAAATGGTCCCTCAAAACATCTTTAAAGTTAAAAACACTTCTTCTGGCATGATTTAACCTACTGATTACGTTTCTGATTAAATTGGATCAAAATAAAAAAAATTTTTTTTAAAATTTCGACCATGTGGTCCCCCCATGAGTCAAAACCTCAAAAATATTTTTTCAGTGTGCTTTACCTCTACCAGTCAATTTAAATTAGAAAATGAATATTTAGTGGTTGAAAATGGTTTGGGCCCTAGTTTTGACCTTAAAAGACGACCCAATAGTCGATAGCTTGGACTTCCAAGTGAAGTACACTATAGAAGCGCGCACTTTGAAGCCCCGAAAGTCAGCTTAAAACGCCTTTTCCCAAGCTTTCGTTGTGTTTTTTAGAATTGACGCATAAAACTACCCCAGAAAAAGTGGTTTTGAAGAAAAGAAAGTGCCCTTTTGACAGAGTGCTATTTAGTGCAAAAATCGGAAGCAGATGCGGAATCAGCGTCAAATTCTGCGTAGAATAGTATTGTCAAATTTTCGAATTGTCAAAACACATTGCTCGTGTCATTTGGTCACCATGCCCGGTTGGCATTCCCAACAATATCTTTTTCTGCTTTATCGTGGTTTTTGCAGAGTTTCTCACTAATTTTTTTCTCGACCTTGACCATTTTGAACGCGTCCCTTTCAAGGACACGAACAATGTGTTTTGACAATTCGAAAAGGGAAAACAAAGCTTCATCAACGAAATAAATCCCCTTTTCAAATAAATCCATTGCTAAAGATGCAATAAGAGTTTGGCCAACAGAACGGGCAAATTGTTCATAAACTTTTTGTACGAATTTTCCAAATTGGCTCGTCATTGGAATGAAAAAAGACATTGAAACCCGAAATTTTCGATCAACAACCCTTAACACTTTTAGAAGGTGCAATCTGTTTTTTCCATTTTCCGATTTTTTTGAAGCGATAATTACGTGTTGTTGGCCAGAAATTTTGATCTAATGGTTCCACCCAAGGATTTCTGCCTGGAAGATAACAACAACACTGAAGCCAAACAAGATTTTCGGTGTTTTGAACAACTTTTTGAGGGAATCCGCCGGAGCTATAAAAGCTCTGTGATTCAGATTCTGACAAACCAGGATTCGCTCATCCAAAATGCGTTGAATTTTACTTCTTTTCCTAGCATTCACGCTGATTTCTGTGATTGTGGCGTTTTTGCTAGCGATCAATCAACCAAACAAACAAACTTCTACTTGGTATTAGGTAGGTTATTAAAATCTTCACTTTACTCTTCACTTGCAGAAATTACTCCGCATTTTTAGAGGAAATCCCAAAACAGGAGCCCGACTCCCCAAAAAGCATCTGTTTTCTGGCGACTATAAAGTCTGGTGTAAGATGATATTATTACCGTTTCTTTGATAACTGTAATTTAGAATATCTACGTTTTTCTATCTGTGTTGTATACACATTAGATATGGCCAAATTACGTCTCGAACTTAATTCCACCTTCGTTTTCTTGGTTGCTCCTTGATCGATTGATCTGAAATTTTGTCTGCAAGCAGTTAATGCCGAGCTCTACCTGTAGACAAGTTTTCAGATCAATCGGTCAAGGAACTGCCAAGAAAACGAAGATGGAATTAGGTTCGGGACGGAATCTGCCCATGTCTAATACATATACTTTCAGAGTACCGCCCCCAGTGTCTCCCTGAGGTGTCCCCGCAGTGTCCCCCGGGGGAGGGGCGGTACTTTCCAAAAGTGCCCCCCTTGTCCATCTTATCTTTTTTAATCGTTTTTCGAATTTATCGACGCAATTTGTAACGAATGTTTCTGATACTTTTCAGATAGAGCCCAGATGCACATACAGAAAGTTTATATTTATTCTTAAAAAAGTAACAAAACATGTAAACTGCAAAACAAAAACGAAAATTTTCAACAAACAACGGGAACAACAATTTTAAGTGATAGTTTCAGCGTCCGAATCTCCATCAACGTCGCTTTCATCGAAGAGACACGGCTTCCCAATCGGATCAAGCAAGAATAAATAATAATAATAATATAATAATCAATCAAAAAACCAAGCCGACTAAATACAAGAATATTATGCATTTTTTGATAAAATAAACCTGAATAGTCGTTCAACGGAGACCGACGAGCCAGGAACAGGGCACAGAAAACCTTGCTTGTGAAGATTTGGGAGATTCTCTTGTTGCATTATCGAAAAATAAGGCAAAGAAACGTTGCTAGCAACACCCGAAGTTACAATTGCCTCATAAGTAGTTAACTAAAGTTTGATTGTTAAATAAGCATTATAGATAAACCTCAAGTTCCAGTTTTGGAGTAATGTCGGGGCCAAAAATTTCAGTGGCGTAATGCGAGTAGAAATGGCTGTTTGAAATGAAATGTTCTACTTGGGCTTTTCAATAGTTAATGCCTATAAATTAACAGCTAAAACTGACTCATTTCTTTGAGTATTTCACTTTTTGCTTGAAGAAGTTGAAGCGGTGAAAGGCTACGGAAGGTTTTCGGATTGAGTTGATATTTGTTGATATTTGGATGTTGATATTTGGCCTCCTGGCCTAGAAGTAAATTCGATAGATTTTTACAAGTAGTATTGTTACAAATAGTCACTGTTGTACTTCACAAATTTATTGAATTATTATGTTTGGTTTATGTTTATGTTCTTGCATTACTCGTGCATCTTGTTTATTCGTTGCTGGTATAGTTATAAAATTTAGTTACCACACGCAAACAGCGGCAAAACCATATTAACAAAAAAAACATTTTTGGGCATTTGGTTGGTTTTTGAAAGTTTACCCCGGATCTTAAAATTTTACCACCCCGGATATTGAAAGACCCCCGGATACTCCACAAGTACCGGGACGCAGCTTTGGCTGTTTGTGTTCGGATTCAGACGTAACATATAAAAGGCGTTTCTAGGAAAGCCGAAATTCCCCACCACCCCGCCGAATCCACAACTCCTAATTGATTTTTTGGCAAAGTGATACAAGCTTTTTTCTCGCCTTTTGTGAAAACACGTTTTCTTTGTTTGCTCCCCCCCCTCCCATTTTGCCTAAAAGACATTTCGCTTGACGCATTTTGCCTAACGCCAGCGCAAGCTTTGTTTTGAACGCATGGCGCAAGCTTCGCTTTCTTGCGCCATCGTGAAGCAAAATGCGTTAGGCGAAATGCCTTTTAGGCGTAATCTGGGTAACCTTTTTCTTTCATGTAATTTAATTCTTGAGTGAATTATATATCTTTTTCAGAATGAATCCTAATTTCAAGTGGTGTGGTAATCCCGAAGAGTTAAAGACGTTAAAGGATGAGGACAAATTGGTGGATTTGAACGAGTGGAGTCTCGTTAGTAGAGTAAGTTTTAATTTACCGTAAAAACTCTAATAGAAGAGCCCTCTATAGGAGCGTCGCGTAGTCTAGATTTACTCTCAAACAAGCGCTCATATCTCGACACCAACACGTTTGTTTCTGCCCGCTTAGGTATCAAATTAAAGTAGAAAGAATGGGTGATTTTTTGAGATATAGCACATATTTTTAGCATTAGCCAGCGCTTAGAAAAAATTGATTGAAAAATGGCAAAAAAGAGCCGACTTTCAGCGATTTTCAATCATCTCAAAAAATCACCCATTCTTAATTTGATACTTTAGTACTTTAATTTGATACCTAAGCGCGCAGAAACAAACGTGTTGGTGCCGAGATATGAGCGCTTTTTTGAGAGTAAACCTAGACTACGCGACGCTCCTATAGAGGGCTCTTCTATTAGAGTTTTTACGGTAATTTTCAATACATTGTTTGCACCTTTGTTTCATAATTAATGTATTTTAGCAAGAAATGGAGAAGTACACGGCCACCACTTTTATGGAGAAGGCTCGTTTCTACTGGTCCAGGTCGCCGCCGGACCTTGTCCAATCTGCAGAAAAGATTTGGTTCGCGGCGGTGTACGCCGTTAAGCAACTCTATCTCTTATGTGGGAACATCGATTTGAAGTCGCATAATTCCCTTGCACATTTTTGCAACTTTGCCCTTCACAATTCTGGATTGGACCAGGTCCATTGTCGTCATTTGTGGTTGAATTGCTGGGATAAAGCGCAGAAGTGAGTAGCTTTTTATAGGATTGTATTCGAAATTGCTATTACTAATTACGCATGAATTTTTAGGATGCACCAAGACGTCTATGGCTCGGGTAACTTTAGTAAGAGTAAATCCCCCCCCCGGATACTCCACAAGTACGGACAAGGCGAGTTTAAGCGGGGTGTACAGGACTCGTTGAACCATTGGATGTTTACTTCTTTCAACAATTTAAAGGCGTAATGGAAAAATTCACGATCACATTCGAGCCAGCAAACCGGATTTCAAGATCAGCAAGCGAGACAATATCATTAAAGTTCTTTCGGTTGTGTGTGAGCAGCTTAAAGCTCCAGTATTTTTTAAGTTTCGTCAATATTCATGGCTCCGAGCAGGACACATCCCTCAACATTCGGGAAACTCCGACGGCGTATCTCATTAACAAGACAAATAAGCGCGATTGTGAAGAAAACGGATGCAATAATATTAATTTCATGCTCTGTGCGCATTGCTCTTAAACTTAGTGTTCTAATTGTGCATTTCAGGTTGTTCATTTTTGCTCATTTGATTGCTAATTACCCTTGATTTTTAATTTTTTGCTTACTTTCTTTTAAATAAATTGTCAATCATTAGATAGCATTAGAAAATAACATTATACAATTTTATAATAATCAAAAAGTTTGACAGCTAGTGGATCCGAACCAAGATCAAAGAGTTCCGAACGCAGGCCCACTAACCACTAGGCTACGAGCTGACTTTTGAGATGGCGGATGGAAAGCCTTTCCGCCGGTAAAAATCAGTGTGCCAAAAATTCAAGAAAAGCCTTCATGTTTTCGAAATTTAAATGGTTGTAACTTTGTGCGTTTTGCCGATTAGGGGTTTTTGAAAACAGTTTCTGAACGTACATTTGCAGGCCTTTCTTTTGGCACTTATCTCATATTATAACTCGCGGGTAACTTGGGAAGGTTCCCTTGTTAGTAAAATCCTAATTGCCGCATTTCGAGTACGGGTTGGCAACTTTCCAACTGTAAATTATAAAATACACCTAAGCTACCGTACCCGAGATGGCGTCCCCCTTTCCCTCTATAAAAGGAAGTCCCATCCATTCACAATTCACTCCTTTAAAGAATCGTTGCCTGGTCCGGTGCTTCGCCGTGTCTTTTGCATGTGTATGTTCCCCTTTCTTTATCCCCTTATAAAATTCTGTTTATTGTTAAAATTTCCCTCCTCCTTTTATTGTTTTCACCCCTTCTTCCCGGTTTCTTGTAAAATTGTTAAAGTTTTAGTGTTTCTGTATTTTTTCCGGTTTTTCAACTTTGTTGGTCTTCGGACCCGTATCTTTCATATCACCGATAAAGTTATTAAAAATCTAAACTCCTTGTCTCTATAAACACCAGTCAATCCAACCCAGCCGCGAATCGTCTTGTTATCCCTCTTGTTTTGACAAATCATTTGGAATTATTGTTTCTCAATTAAAAGATTTAGCGGTTTGGGTAAGATTTCGACCCAGAATTTAAATGTTTGAAACCGTAATACGTTACTGCTTCCTGCTTGATTTGAGTTCTGATTTTGTTACTAAATAAATAAATTTCAGACAAATGGGTAACACTCTTGGCGGTGAATACTTGTCAACATGGGATCAAGACGATGTGAAGAAATGGAAAGAAAAGGCCGCCCAATCACAGAAATTCTACTACCTTCAATTCGATGGTTCTCAATTTCACGATGTCTCGGATTTGAGTGAAAGCTTGCGAATAATCAAAATCTGTTTTGCTCTTTTCGGCCCACCACAAGAAGAGAAGGAGAAAATTGAAGATGCTTACACGAATGAGCAAAGAGAAACTGCAGCGAAAATCTACAAAACTATTCATGAAGTCTGGCTGAAAGCTCCCGAAAAACAGTTCATGGTCGGTTTCAGATTCATTTTTTGTAAAGAAGGTGACAAAGAATTCCCTGTTCCGATTTTCTCACTCTTATGGCAAAAAGTCAACCACAGTCACCACATGAGATTCATTGATACGATGTGTCGAGTGTATGAAAATTGGGAGGACTGGAAAACGCAAAATCGATTGCCAATGCTCAAATACTGTTTCCCGAAGTATGGATTCTACAGCTGCTCAGAAAACAATCAATTCGACTTTGATCCCGAGAAAGACCCATCACTTCAATTTGGAGCAACCCCAGCGTGTGACTTGAGTGCAAGAATTGGAAGAATTTTCGACGTCACGATTACCACAGTTGGAATCGGAGTTGGTTTGGTCTCTCTATTCACCCCAGCTGGATTCATCAGTGGTCCAATCTTATTGGGAACAACCGGCACAAGTGCAGTCTATGGATTGGGGAGAGCTGGGCAAAGACTTGTTGACAAATACAATCATAATGAAAGTCTTACTGATTTGGAGAGTATTGTTTTGCTGTTATCCATTCTGGCAGCTCCTCTTCACTTCGTGACTGCTCTAGCTAATGCTCGTCTAGCTGCTGGTGCGGCGCAAGGACGAATTTTCACTCAATCACAAAGACTTTTGGCCACATCACTTATGATCACTTCTCTTTCAATTGACTCATTTTTCTTCTTGATGAATGTTGTGAATTTGGTGGAGAAAGCGTTGAAGAAAGAGCTCACTGCTTTGGATTTATTGCAGTTCTCGATCAGCACTCTCTTTTTCACAAACACTTTGATGCAACCAAAAACCGCTGCCGGAGTCATCAACAAGTTTCAAGAACAAAGAATCGGGGAAATCGCAAATCAAATGACTGATGCACAGGCAAAACAATCATTTCAAAAGTTCGTTGATGCAAATAAAGGTGAGGGGGGCATACAAGCAAAGTCAAAGGTTGTTCGAACATTGAATCGAATGGAGGATCCGAATTGTTTCTTTTCAAAAACTCAAGGCTTTGACATGAAGATTGGTGGCCGCAAAGGGCGTACTGTATTGCTAACAGACGGAAAGGGGTATACTCAACGAACAAACCCCAATCACCGGTAAAAACTTTATCGAACTATTGTAAAAGCTTTAATCTTGAACAATTAGAATAAGGTGTTAGAATAGTTGAGCTATTTTTAAGACAAAATTTGCAATGGTTTACAAAAGTGTTCATTTACTTTTTTATTTAGAACTGACTTCGCTGTTCAAGACGTGCAAGGATTGGCGAAAATCAGCAAGAGGAACCAATTGAAAATATGTCTGGGAAATGATCACGAAGCACACAAATATTTGAAGAACATGTCTCCAAGAGACCAAGCCAGAGTCAATAATGTGTTTGAAGGAGCGGCTGGTTATGATAGAGATACGGTGAGAATCGCGGAGAGATTGGCCGAGCAATTGGGTATTCCGGAAACCGAACCTGGAAAATTTATGTCTCTTGTGGAAGTGGTGGCGGCTGAGAGAAAGTGTGAGTTTTGAAATCTGTTTTAACCAGTTTACTAACAAGATTTGACAATCTTAACTTTGTAAGCAAAAACTTTTTCTTTTTCTAGCCGGACGACGGCTGAATTTCAACGATCCAAGCACCTTTTCACGCTTTTTGAACGACATCAACATTGATGTCAAAAAGATTGGAAATATCGTGGCAAGGAAGCAATTGAAGTTCGTCGATGATTATCTGGCACTTTATCACTACCGGAAACATGGAGAAGAGTTCATGACTCATTGCTCTCTTCAATTCTATCTAGGAGAGCTTCCAAGTAAAGTTGTCAATCAAGGCAAACTGGTTGATGTTTGTGAGATGAATATGATGGCCCAGGTGAGTTCCAATGGCGGTAGGGTTTCAAAAACCAAGTCCAAGCCTTATCCCATTGGTTTACCCTTTTCTTTCTGGGTTTCTTTCTGGTCCTGGTTTGGTTTGGAGATTTCGCTCTAGGAATGATTCTGTTCAAAAACTTAGACTTAAACTATGAAAGCTTATGGTCAATAAATCGTTTTCAGAATGGTGTTCAAGAAGTCATCCATCAAAAGACCTATTATCTCCCAAATGATGAAATGTGTGTGGTGAGGGAGGGAACCGGAAAGACCACGATCAGCACTGTTTACAAGAATCAAGCCGGCTATGAGAAGTATCAACAAAGAATTCAGGTTAAACAAGCCTTTGACTTAAAAACACTACTTTACTGACTGTTTCTATTAGGTTGTAAACTAAGTCTTGACCCTTTCTTAAATTGCTAATATCTCAGCGTAGAATCAGTATATTTGAATCAAATTTTAAATTCTCAAAATCTTACAAGCTTAATGCCAAAATTATAAAGCTATTCGGCGATTTGGCGACCAAGTTATGTATAGCAAGAAGACCGCGCGAAGACAATTTTTTCCGCCGGCCAAACAAAAACGGCCAGAGGAACGTACAACACCACATAAACTAGAATAATGTAGTCCTAGGGTCAAACTCGGTCTCGGTTCGGGGGGGTCGAGTTTTTGAAAATTTTGCCGCTCATTTTTAAGCCCCATAAACTTGCCAGATCAGGAAATTTTAATAATAATATTTAGATAGCTTAGAATATCAGCTTTTAGAAACTATTTGTTTTATTAAAAGGTTACCAACAAAAACCTTTCTAAAATCGGGCTGCAAAATTGTTAAAAACTCGACTTTTGGCCTTGGAAAAAGGCCAAAAAGGGTAGTACACCGGATAACTCGGTCGCTAATCCCCGAATAACTTTAAATTGGCCATAAGCTTTTAGTTCTTGAGTCCAAGTTCATTTTATTTTTCAAGTATTTGGTTCTGCCGGAAATTGCTTTAAGAAAGGGTCAAGACTTGGTTTATCTAGCATATGATCAAATCTTGCTTAAGTTCAAAATCTAATGCATAATAACAAGGACGTTGTTTCAGGTCACAAAGACTCCACCATTGGATGTAGCACTCGAGAGAATTGGCCAACTCTTGGGCTTGGATGGTCTCAATTTACAAATCAGTCACAGTCGATCAACCTTTGATCAGAATACCTTTGCTACGACGAATGCTCTGAAAGAAGATTCCGATTATTGCCGTTGGATGATGAGCATTTTTTTGAGTGATTATACTGATTATTTGGAAGATACTAACAATGATAAGTCGGGTGAATAATGCGCAGACAAAGCCTTATTTGATCTCTTTTCTGCTCATATTCATTAATGCTAATCATTTATGTTGTGTTTTATTTATTAAATGAATATTTAAAGAATAAATATCAGCCAATTCTTCCCTTTGCTGGTACATTCGAAGACGATTGAACTTAAATAGAATTTTTCCTTTCGCAAACTTTAGACTATTTTATTTTAAAATTTTTGGAACAAAAGGAAAAAACTTCTGATTTTTGGGTGGAAAAAAGTATTGACCGCTCTAGTTTTTTATGTTAATTTTTGCTTTTCTTCTATTTTTCAAAGTGTTGAATTTATTATTTTGGTGTGTCGCCAAACGAGTATTGGCCTCCGATCAAGGGCTTGTCCGTCCCCGTGAAGGGGTCGTCCGCAAGTCGAGAATGTGTTTCGCGTCCCAAAAAGGACAGTTCGACGAGTTTGCGAAAGGAGGGAAATGTGCACAGGAAGACGAGGAGTGGACGCCCACGCAAAACAATGACGGGACTGGGCCTTGTACAAAAAAAAAAATCACTTTTCCCCTTCGAGTCGCACGGCCACCGATGGAAGGTTGTTCCTGCAAGACGAGTTTGGAGTTGATGTTACTGCTTGAACAGCCCGAAATCGTCTCAAAACACGCGAATTGTTCTCACGACGGCCAACGCGAAAGCCCTTGGTGTCTCTCAAAAATCGGCGTCTCTGTTTACAGTTTCGCATTGGAGCATCAACACTAGAAAGTCGAGACTTGCCGAAGTGTGATTTGGAGTGATGAAGTCAAGTCCGAGCTATTCAACCCAAACGGTGATTTTATGATCAAGAGACCACCGGGAGCACGATATAAGTTGAAGCATATTCAACCGACAGTCAAATTTGGTGGAGTTGGGATAATGTGTTGGGGATGCTTTTCTGGACAGTCGAAACCAGGATAGTTTCCTCTCGTTTGTATCGATGGAACAATGGATGCGGTCAAATACGCGGATATACTTCAGTCATCGATGCTGCCACATGCTCGAATAATGATGGGTCCAGCCTGGCTATTCATGCTGGACAATGACCCCAAAAATAAAAGTGGATTGATGATGGGACGTCATCTCAAGTTTCGGCAGGCTGCTTTGTCCGTCTTCCGGGCTGGTTTCGCCTCAACAATGTGTATCTTCTCGATACTCCGCCATATTCACCTGATTGTAACCCAATCGAACACTTGTGGGCTCATGTGAAACGAGAACTGAAGGGATTTCGGGCATCTTCGAGAGATGAGCTTTGGGACAAGGTTCAAGAAATTTGGAAATCAATATCGCCGCTGTTTCTTGATAAATTGGTTGAAAGAATGCAGAAAATCATTAAAGCTGAGGGAGGACCGACTAAATACTGAAAACTATCGTTGTATTTGTGTGGTCAATACTTTTTTCCAAAACTTTTAAAATAATCTCAAGTTTGCGAAAGGAAAAATTTCATTTAATAGTTCTATAAAGCGTAACAAGAAGATCCACAACACACAAAAATTGAAATTAAAACGCAAAACGTTCAGAATGTTTCATTATCGTAAGTAACTGAGACTTGTGAACTTAAATGTTTCTTTGCATTTTCAAAAATATTTTCAGGATATGTTCCCTGTCAATGACGGCTACTTTGTCTTTCACTTGCAAAGTAAATATTTATGCATTATTTTGGCAACGTTCGGTTTTCTACCTATATTTTTCTATTTTTTCTCAATATTTGCTTGTACGGATTCGCAAACAAGTAGCTATTTAAAACTCCATTTACACGATTTTCCGTTTTAGAAATATTTTTATCAAATGCACTAATGACCACCACTTTTTCACTAATGACCACCACTCTTCCGGCTATTTTCTTTCACATCGTTCTTTTTGTGACAAAGTTCTATCGAAATCTTTTCGTTCAATTTTATCAGGTGAGTGAATAGACAAAGAATGATAACAATATTATTAGATATTTTTGTTTTCAGCTTCTCAAAGAGCGTTTCGTATCACGAATTAGCAATTCCAATAAGGCTAACACACATTAAAAACCATATGTTGTTCAGCTCAAGAATAAAAAGAACAATGTTGGCATTGATTGACAATTTCCAGCCTGAAACCAAGGTTTTCAGCCAAATTAAAGCAAATTGTAAGCTTGAAATTCCAGATAAAAGCTAATTGAAAGCCATTGGCTTTGGCATGACTTTGATTGAAAAGATCTTCGCAGAGTTTTTGCTCACAAACTTTTGAAATCACATTTTCTTTTCGAATTCTGAATGTTTGGACTTTTCTGATAACCCTTTTTTCGGAAAGAACCTCGAAAATCTGATCGGTTTTCTCAAGTTTTGATCATTTTGTCACTACCATTGCGTAAACTAATCAATTACATGTGTTATCACCAAAGCCTCTCTCCGAATAGAAATAGGAACACAAAAAGATTTCACACCCCGCCAAGAAAGACATTGAACTCATTTAAAAAGTAAGAATCGAATTTTTATTCAATGGCTGTATTATTGATTTCTTTGTGTCTTTCATTATCTTATGCTCTGCAATGTCATTTTGATTTTCACGAAACCCAACATCACGGTGATGATTCGGTAAAATTTGAAAAGCTATTATCTACCTATAGAAGTTTAAAAGTGACTCTTAACAATAAAGTTAATAATTTTAATAAAATTCTCTTTTATCTAGATATCTACAAAGCTTATAGGCCAATTTATATCAGTTTCACCAGGAAAGAAAAGTAAAAAAAGAAAAGAAAAGTTTGTTTCAGTAAAAGCTATTACTTAGCTAAACAAGTTTAAACGTTACTTTTACTAAAATTGATTGGCAAAAAAGTTGGTCACTTAACAAAAGCTAGCTTGAATCGGTTCATCAGTCACTTTCAGAAGTCAGTGAACTGCTCGACAGAATGTGGCTTTTGTGGAAAGATAATTGAGCCAATTCACGTGGTTCAAGTAGGTTCTTTCCGAAAAATATGAGTAAAAGTCAATCGTTCCCTTGCTCATTTCAAACACCCGAGTTTAAATCTCAGAAAGGCAGCTATTTTGAGACTCATTGGGGTTGCGGGTGTGGTGATCAATATCCTGTCTCT